CAAAAGAGAAAGATCTTCTGCTATACTGTATAGGGACGACTCTGTAGAGCTTGTACTTGAATCAAACTTCTTATAATTATAGTGGACTTTGTCGTTCAACTCAGCTCTCATTACAAGTGACCCCAGGAGCGCACCTGGATTTCGGTTTCCAAACACTTGGATTCCGGATTCCATTAAAAATTTTCGCAAAGCTTCATGCTTTTTTTTACTCCAAGTTTTTGGACTCCGGATTCCAGAGGCAACCGGCGTTTGTCGGATTCCGTGTCGTGGGGCGATCACTCATATATATACTAAATGATTCTCCCTGAATGATGTAATGTGTTCAAGACAGATTACGAAGATGCCATGCCATGCAACAGTTGTAAGTTGAATATAAGAATAAATTTAAAATTTATTTAAAATTCCATGAAATTTATCGGCTTTGCCTTGTTTGGGCAGGGACACCGCAACAGCTTGAGCCAATACCGGACCCTGTACTCTCACACTCACTACTTAAGTAGTTTAGCACACAACACTCCTCACCTCTTTCAGGTCCCGGAGAAAAGTCTCGTGATAAGGGAAGAACAACACATCAAACAAACTCAAGCTCACATATGGTCCGTGACCGGGGAATCGAACCTGCTGGGCCACAGCGGTGAGGGGCCAGCAGCTTAACCACTAGACCACCCGTGCCACCCAAATAAAAAAAAGATACTGCATGGTAGATCTAAAGTTTAGAAGGTAGATCTAATCTAGACAATTAATCTAGAGCGAGGCATCGTTTAGAGGAAGTCAGAGCTCAGAACCAATCGCCCGCGATGCTTAATGTCCTTAAAGGGCAATACTTCATCTTAYAGTTCTAAGCGTAATCTTGAAAGGTAGCCGAGCCTTTGCATCAAAGCGAGACAACAGTCATTTACTACAACTACCAGAATGCTTTGCCAACTTTCTTTTGTAATGCAATTAGTGCCAATTGTTTTATTAGTCTCCAAGGGGATTAAAAATCTGAAATAACAATGAAAATGCGCAAGACCTTCTGGTAGTTGTAGTAAAGTTACGGCATAATGCAAATGGCCTATTGCCTTGGTTTTGATCAAAAGGTATCTATCACTGCAGGCTCAACTCCTGTCTCGCTTTGATGCAAATGCTTGGTTTCAACATAGTTAATTAACTATGGTTTCAAGATTGCTGACTTTATCCTTATAGATCACCATGATGATGACACGACCTTTTTTCTGCGTCTCTTGTCGTTTGTATTTGGCGGAGATATTTACAAAATCAGTTCACATGATTTTGTAAGAATAATGTGGTTACGTTTTCTTGTCTTTCTCTATAACTAAGAATACGGGGCAGCCCCGTGAACGGTACCTCTTTTCCATTTTGTCCTTTCTAGCATAATTAGTACAAAACTTGTTTAAAAGTAAAGGCATTTTATCAGTCCAAACATTTGCATGAACATGATATCTTTTCCTGTTCTTGTTTTTTCTTTTTTCAACAACAACAKTTCAGGGCATTTTTACTCTATTGCAGCACGAAATGTTTTCCCGCTATTTGAGCTGTATAGGAGATTGGTTTTCAAAATAATCCACCACGCTCCCCTCCTCTTCCCCTCACATTCAAATATTAATAGTTTTGATTGACGGCCGTCATATCCTGAATTTTGTCTGGAGAGGTCGCGCGTATAATAGGTCTCATGCATGAGTAGAACAACACTGWAATGTTTGGTTTATGAGATCGATTCAATTCCGTGTCAAAAAACGCACAAAGCTTTCAAATCATTATTAAACATTTAATTTTACAAAAGAGAAGAGTTACTTGTTATCGAATTCAACTAAGAGACTGAAATCACTTTCAACAAAGAGGTAATTACTGATGTCAGAAGACTCGTCGAAGGTAATATCTTTATATTTCTTTAATATGATCATTGAATTTCAATTAATCCTGTAACTACTTTGAGAAGTTCTTAGCCAGCTAAAAATGTACAATGAAAACGTCGTCTGAGAGGAAACAGGAAACGGGAAGATATTCGTTTCACTTTGTGATGAAACTGTCGTTTTATTATTCCGTTCAAGGTTGTTGCGTATCATTTATATCAATACATAACAGCACGGATAATATACATAAAAAAGCAGTGCATGACATACAAGAGTAGTACAAGGAATGACATTAATGGTTCCATTCTCGGTGTTTACTTTTGATCAGTGCAGCAAAAACTAAACCTGAGGAATCTCAATATGATAAAATACCACATTCCTTTGTCAAACGTAGTGAAGCATGTCAAACTCAAAGCGAAAATTTTGCATGTTGCTTCTCTGTTTTCACTACATTTCAGTGGCTGAATGAGTTGTAGAATAAACAACTAACACATTAACTTGAAAATACTGTAAACGTATTAACTGCTAATAAACATTATTAGTATAAACATACTAATGGTCTATCACTCATACTGCGCTGTGATTGGCTACTCTACTAATGGTCTAATTTGTGATAGACCACTCGCCGGAAAATCAAAATAAATAAATTATAAATTATTTTAAGGATATTTCAATTTGTTTTCATTATTTGACCTATTAGTATGTTTCTACTAAAACAATTAGACCTCTCGGCCTCGTGGACTACGAGCTAATAGCCCATTCGGCCTCGCGGACTCGGCCTCATGGGCTATTAGCTCGTAGTCCACTCGACCTCGAGGTCTAATTGTTAAGTAATATTAGTGGAAAGGATAACATTCTATTATTCAACCGGAACATTCTATTAAACATCCTTGAAAATTGTACTATGAGTGTGGGCCTTCCATCTGATTTAACGAAGGCGCTATGCATTTACAAGTATACTAGGTTAGCGTTAGAGGCTTGCTTTCCGGCTTCATAATTGATCTTTGACAGTTTTCTCGTCTTGCTGCTCTCCGTTCTAGAAGCACGATGAACACAATACTGTTGGCAGCCCCACAACATTAATTCTTATTTCTTGTTTTTAAAATTGTACTTTTCTCGCACTATACTAGTCACGTGCAGTTCTCCATTCTCTGTTTGCCAAAATTAAAGGTTTTATATTAGCCTTTGGTAAAAAACGAGTTTCATCAATATTCTTTAATTTTTTTGCCCTGCATAAAATCCCAAAATTATCTGGCTGAGTGACGGGCGGGTTGGATTTTGCCATTATAGTTAAATCGGGAGTGCAATATGGATAGAATATTTTCCCATACCCTGCGAAGTAGTCTCTATCAACAGCCGCGACTTCCGGTCTCGTCAAATTTCCTCACCAAAAGTAACGGCTGTTTACCCAGGGCCAACATTCCTTTCCCTTTGATTGACCAATCACGGCTTGGCTCCTGAAAACCAGGAGCCGTTCGCGCCATAATAAAACAAGATAGTTGTTATTGCATCTGCGAAATTTAAAATCAGAGAGTTAAACGACAATCAAAAGAATGCTATACTCAAGTTTATC